GATTTTTCTCCGAATGACTTTCAATGAAGGAAAATCAATGGTTTTTTGTTTTTTTTTTTATTTTTTTATTTTTTTATATTTTGCGACTACCGCCTTTTCAAAATTAGTTGCGGCATAAAAAAGTTTTGTTTGCAATCAAGAATTTGTGTTCAAACATTTTACGAACAGCAACAACCAAACAACTAATATCAAACCGAGTACGAATGCTCAAAGCCAAAAGTTAAATTATGACTACTTTGCATATTTTAGGTAGCCGGGAAATTGAGCAATGCAAAAGTTCTGCGCGCTTATTGCCAATGTTCGAATTTGCGGGTATTACAAGCAGCCTTTGCTCCCACTTCCACAAGTACATCGACTAGCCGTTCATGCGCCTAAAAGCTCCAAATGGCTGCAACGGCACATTTTTATGCAACTTATACTTGTTGACTTGAAAAGAATTATTGACTTTGAAATCAAAGCGTTTTGCCGTTGGAAAATTTTAGCAGCGCTCAATACTCCGCAACGTGGCTGCCCATTGGCTGCTCATTTTTCGATTATTGTAATTTTCGCTTACAGCAGCTAAAAGTATGCAAAAACTTTTCGTGTTTCGCTGATTCCGAGTTATTGACTTTACTGAAAGGAAAAGCATAATGGACACTGCTGAATCGAGATACATAATTTACAAAATTATAATTACTACATAATTTTCTCATGCGAACATACATAAAGCTCCGCTAGAGAGCTATTTTAATTTCAATAAATACACGGCTCATTAGACAGTGACTGGCTTTTACCTTAGAAAAGAATTTTGTCGGAGATTTTCTATGCTGATTCCGAAACAATTGGCAGGTTTTGATGAAATTCAACAGTTCTAGAGAAAGAGTTAAGATCTAAAAATATTTTTGGTAAAAATTACAATTTTACTAATTTTTCTTATTAAACATTAGTACTTTATGGAAACAATAATAAAATCGAACCATACAAAAACACTTTCTCTTGCGACAAGAAAAAGAACATACATATATCTAAAAGGAGCACACCTAAAAATTTTAATATGACCTACGAACTATCCCGATCTAAGCATAGGATTAGAAAGAACCCTAGAAAATAAAGTTTAGTTAAAACTTACAACTGAAGATTATTGGAATAGAGAAATAATGCCAACCTTATTCAATTCCATATCGGTCAGAATTGCGACCACTTTTCCTTCTTTCAGTAAATGGCCAAAACACGTAAAATAAATAGTACATATAAAATTTAAGAAACAACATATAGGTATGTATATAAGTCCGTTACAAATTTTTCTTTACGAAACATTCTACCCAAGTAAAGTTATAAGGCCATAAATAAGAAAAACAAATAAAAAAATTTAACCAAAAACATAGTATACGTATGTATTCAGCAAGTTTGCAAAATAATTTTGAGTTTCATTGGTGTTGGTTGATTGATGTTAATAGGAAATGTTTAATTAAATAAAAATAGTTTTTTTACAATTTATTTATTTATTTTGCTTTTTGGTGTTTTAGGAAAAAATACTGGTATTTAAAATTGCAGGTATTTTTCAAGTTATAGTTAAAAATTTTAGTTATTTAGCGCATTTAGCCCATTTAGCGCATATCAGTGATTGATCGAATGTCGGTGCGACATCTGCCGATAACAGCAAACAACAGTTATAAACTCTGCTACTAGGTGGTATGCGTTGATTTTTGTGCTATTGGCGGTCATCTGAAGCAGTTTCCTCGAAATAGTCGGCTGATGCATGAAAACGCTGCGAGAAAACTGCATTGAAAAGCTGATAAGCATAGAAACAGAAAGTCACTAGTGAGTAGAGCTTTGCGCAGACGCTTATTTGTGTAAGTTTGTTTTGGGATGTTATTGGAAAATGTCGCAAAAGCTCTATAACGCAAATGAAAAACTTAGCTAAAAGCTTTTGTGTCAAAGCGATGCCAGATTTATATAAATTTTGCCCATTTCTTATTAGACACTGGCAGCTTTTATACACATAGAAAAAATGTGCTTTATTTTCTAAACTAATAGGTGTCGCCCACACCGATATGCGCTAAACGACTACAAAATTTTACAAATATTTTTAAATACCGGCAAATTTTAATTACCAGTATTTTAACGAGTCTTTTTTATCAAAACACCAAATGAATAATATCTAATAAAAACAAATTGAAAAAACACTATTTGTATTTAATTAAACATTTCAATAATTAGCATCAACCAACACCAATGTAATTCAAAAGTTTTTCATTTTTTCTTCTCGAAATAATATTGGCCCAAATGTAATTAATAAGTTTCAATTTGAGAATTCAAACATTAGATTTCAGTAAAAAAAAATCCATTATTCAAACAATGTTTTGATTTAAGGGAAAATTTTTAAAAATCTAATTTTAGCAAATTTTATTTCTAAAAAAATAAAGTGCTGCAAATAATTTAAAGCGCAATTAATCTTTATTGTCTGATTTGTTTAACGAAGTCATCGATTCATGCTCATGAATGTACATTAGGGTGGTCCTAAAATGCAGGAAGCAAATTTTTATATCAGATTTCCTAAATCTCAATCCCTACTGTAGTATCACATATAAATTTTGGTCCCGGTTGGGCACGGCTAAGGCGTGTCGCACAGGGGACAAAGCTCAGATTCCTCTAAGGAGACTCAAAAAATTAAAATTATAATTTTTTTTCATCTAATGCCCAAAATCGATACTACTAAAGTCGAGGATACCACATCTTACCAGGATAAGTGCGGTTGGAAGGACGACGGAGTCTAAATAGGTTACTTTATGTGACTTCTGGGCATTTAATCCCCTCCTGTTGATTGGATCGCCACTTTGATTTGCGATAATAAATTTAACTTTAGCTTCCTTCTAGATAAGACTAATAAAGACAAGACTCGTAAAACCTCTCGGCCCATAATGACCTGGGAAAAATTTTTAGTCGGACGTGGTGTCGTAAACTCAAAGTTTACAGAATGCCTTTATTTCATGATTACCCGCCTGTTATATTGAGATGTAGAAGCGCCAATGACAGAATTGAAAACATGTAAACTTTCTAATCTATTCGAAAAGAAATGAGATCTGAAAGGAAATGTCGAGACCTATTTCCAGAACGGGAGGTCTAAGAAAACCTTGATTAGAGATACTTGCAATCACAATGGACAGATAGCGCAGTGAGAAAGATTTTAGCCCTCCTTTCTGACAGCCAAACAGGCATTTTTGATTGTCAAGGTGTTTTGATATTTTTTCAGCGTAAATATATTTAACATTGGTGTGAGTGTGAATATCATGTGAATTCGGAATAATTTTGTGGTCTCAGTGGGTATAGGGAAGTGACGAGGAACCTTAGAAAGTTCACATATTTTGGACAACCTTTCACTAGGAAATATATAGAAATTTGCTCTCCGTCCCTTGAAAATTACTGATACAACACATACTTTCTTAACCTTCTTACAATTCACGTTTGCTTCTTATTAATCTTCAACCGCTTGAAACCATAACAACTATTTTTCACTTGCTATCGTTTTTAATTTAATTCACGGGACTGTCGGCTGTCCGTCTTTGTTTTTTTGTATACGTTCTACTTAACTTCAATCCCTTCTATCAAGATGAAGTCAGGACTAATTATGCAAGGAAGGCTCCTTTGTTGCCTGCTCTCTGCGACTTCAATGAGACCTCGAATTCTATCTGCTTCATTATCCAAAGATTATTTTCTCTTTGTTATGTTCTACCTTATAAAACATTATAGTGTTTTATTATTATTAAGGTTTTTGGGTTGTAAATTCTAGCTTTAAGCAGTCAGCAAAAACTTTGTTAGTGCATTGAATTTATGGAATAAATAATTATGTATTTTAAATAGAGCTGACATCAGGTTCCTCACTGGTTATCTAGCCAGTCACACTAGTTTTTTCTTCGCATATACATCGGAATGATCCGGACTTGGCCGGACTAATACATTGCAATCAATCTACGATTTGCATTTACGTCTCAATACGGTTTTCCATCTCAAGGCAAAATATAAACAAATCCTTGCCAAATCTTGCATCATAGCAATTACAAAACTTTGCCGGTCAAAACTGAGTATATAGTGATTTTTTTAAATATTTTCAAGTAAAAATTTTTTATAAAAATATTTTTCATGGTTTAACGAAAACCATATGAATCAAGGTTCCAAACTTTATACATACATTACTTCGAAAAATTTCACAAATTTTCCTCAACATTTTTAGCTTTTTAAACGGAATTTTTATAAAATTTTATTGTTGCAGTTACTTAGTGACAGTAAAAAAAAACTTACGTTATAAAAAAGAAGTTGCTCTCAAAAAAAAGTGGTCTGTGCATTTAACCAAACTATTTGAGGTCCGTTTGAGTCGTACACCCTCAAAAATTTCGAGTTATTTGCAAAAACTGTGATTCTTTTGCCATATTTTTTTTAAATTTCACTTATTTTGTTAAAATTTCTTAAGCCTTGTAACTGCATAGCCCAAAATTTTATAAAAATTATGATTAACAAGCTCAAAATTTTGATGACAGTTTTTGGAATTTTTCTAAATAATGTATAAGGTTTGAAACTTTGATATTTTTGTAAAAGAATAAAAAAAAAATTACTTGAAAAACATTGAAAATTTTTTAGAAAAATCACTATGTACTCACTTTCCCTGGGCAGTGTATACACAAAATTAAATTCGCGTATTAATTTAAATTAAATTACGTAATAATAATACGTAAATCTTCGTAATTTCATACTGGATTTTTGCACACATTTTTTTACTCTACACATTTTGTGTCTAAAGATTTTCTAGTTTTCTTTTCTCGACAGCACCATTCTGGCAACGCCATGCGCTCTTCGCTCACAGATGGTTGCTGTGTGTTGCCCAACTGTTCGGCCCCAGCAAACATGTCGTGAATTGCGCGAGAGAATGTTGTGCCAGGACCAGCAGCGCTTGAAAATATTTTATTATTGCGGTAGAGTGCCTACAAAAAAAGAAAAAATTATAAAAGAGTTCTAAGTAAAAAAAAATATTTGCCAAGTGTGTGCGGAAAGTAAAAATACATACTCAAATGTGAAAAAACAAGAAAAATGTATAATATTCGAGGTAAAACGAATAAATGGCATTTGATTAGTAAGGGCATGAAGAGCCTAAAATAATACCGTTACGCCAAGGAATCGCTTACAATGTGACCCAATTTGCAGTGTGTACGTGTGTGGCTAAGGAAAAAGAAAATAACAGTGGCGGTGGAAGTGGTAGTGAATTGAAGGAAATTACGTTTTGCTTTAAGTGAAAATTCATTGCGTCCACTAAAATACACACATACATATATTGAATTATTCTTAACACCAAGAAATTCAAGGCCTACTACGCCTTTCATAATAAATGGTGTGAAAAGCGCAAAAACCCGAAAAGTGCCATCGAAAAATTCTAAGCAGAATTTGTGGGGGAGTTGTGCTTGCCTGGCGGTGGTAGCTGAAATTAAAGGACTTTAACAACAAAAGCTTTGCGCAGAGTGCGCCGTTCATAAATATTTTTGTTTTTTTATTTCGGGACAGCCCAATGGCTTAGATATGTACGTAGCATGCGAGTGCGCCTAGAAGCAAACTACAGCAGGCGATATCAAAATAATAATCTACATACATACATATTCATTTATGCATGCATGTTTGTATGTGTGTGTGCAAATATTTTGCAAAATCGTATACGTATCCGCTAAATGCTCTCGCCACAATTATTTCTTCGCTGTGTGTCTTTCTTTGCTCACATGATTTTTGCATTTTGACACATTTTAGCGAAGTAAGAAAATTTTCCAAAGCAAAATATGAAAATGTTTTAAAACAGTTTACTCCGCTCCCTTTTTGACAGCTGATTTTACATGTGCAACAACAAAAAAAGTTTCACAACGAAACAGCACCAAAAAGTATGAACCAAAGTGAGAGAGTAAGTGGTGGGTGCTGAGCGTAAGCGTCAAAAATAGAAGCAGCCGTGAGCGTCAACAAAGTAATCGGAGAGTCCTTCGAGTGGGCTGTGCCACTGACAGCTACCAGAATAACAAAAATAATAACAACAACAACGACAACAACAACAAGCGGCTATATTACTTCACGTCCTTCATTCATTTACGACAGTGGTAAGTAGAAATAAAACTTGAATTCTTCATTTCATCCTTGCTACATGTCTGCATGTCTAAATATTTGTGCGTCTCATAAGGTATGCGCGTGAAATATCGCACATTTTTTTAATAATGCAAAGAATGCAAAATATTCATTTGCACACAAAACTTTTATTTGCGAAGACAAAAGCGCCATTACGAAATCGCTTGGTAGGCCTCTAAGGATGTGTTTGCGTGTGTATGTGTATGAATGTGCAGTATTTGTTGCCTCTTTTTGCAACTTCCTTTTCCACTTTATGTTAGCAAGAGTATTCCCCCAACATTCGATTTTTTTTAGTATCTTTAAAAAAAGAAGAGTCAATTAGTATTTATTGATTAGATGGAATTGATATCTGCAATAAACCGGTTAGTTTTTTTTATTACAAAAGGATTACATTTTAAAGGGAAGGCCCTAGAATGAAACTATCTAGAGAAAAATATTTATAAAGTTTGGCAGTGGCTTAACTGTTAGCATGCTGGCCTTGCACATCGAAGGACGAGGGTTCGGTTTCCGGTGAAGTCTACAGAGGAGCTTAATGAGGATGACCGAAGTGGCAATACATATATGTATGAAAAATTAAATTATGGCATTCAGCTCGATAGCATTTTTGACAAGAAAACGGGGAAATTTCCATGGAGAGATTTAATGATTGAGATAAAATTAGTAGGGCAATCTTAAACAAGAAGCAGATCCGCAAATACAGCACCTATGCATAATATATGTATGTACATGGAAAATGTGCTGGAGGGGCATAAGTCCTGAATATTTTTGTTAACATTAGCAGCATCTCACGCCGATTGTTCTCTGAAGTTTAACAAGCAGATTGCCCACGCTATTGATTGAGATTCTGCTCCACCATCGCACTGACGCTGATTATAGGTCTGATCAAGGAGGTATAAATCCAGAGGATTCCCTTTGGTGGCAGACGCCACGTTTTGTCAAAGTCCTGGTTACCACAAAGCACCTGTGTACCATCAGCAACGTGACGAATAACAGCTCAAAGGTAATAAAATACCAGGCTATTCAAGCAAGCCTTTGGTAAACGCAGTTAAAACGGACACTGTATTTTTCACAAGAAAGTATAGTGCAGCGCCCTGCCTTGAACCCCCGTAAACTTAGGAACACCAAACTAAGTCTCAAGGACTAGAGAAAATACCTTGAATGGGATCTTGAACAGCAAACGCACATTAATTAATTAATTCGTTATATTTACGCGATATATGCATGCTGGGTATATCACGTTCGCTGATGCGTTGATGGTGTACAGCAGTAATTAGACCAATATTATTTTCAGGGCCCTGGTGTTGTAAACAGGATCGAGGAAATCGTCATTTTTTAAGTTATTGAAGAGTTACAACGCATTTCTGCCCGATGCTTAAGGCAGCGCTGAGAAAAACTTCAATGGCTTCCTTAGACATAATTCTGACATTTCTAGCTTGACGGCCGCTGTTGATTTCGCATGAAGATCCATTGGGTATACCCAAAAAGGCAGTAGGACTGAATGTAAATTGGTAAAGAGGGTTCTAGACTATAATCGAAGAGAAAAGGGTTTGTAGAAAGGAATTGTAAACGGAAAGAGACCTTCAAGATTCTGCTCACCGAAAAAGCGGATGAGATTGCCAAAAATGTTGTTTGTTTAAAGAACAGCATTGAGTGACATGAAAAGCTTCGCGAAAAGCCACAGAATGGCATCGAAAAGGCTTGAAAAGACTAGACAAGTTGAGAAGTGTTGTCTGCAATGCTGCCATAGTCATGTTCAAGGCAAACATTTGTACTCAAGTGACACTCCATACCCAGAATGCGCGCGCAGCTCGATTGTAGGACCACTATGAACAGCAGAGTTGAATAAATCACGCAGGTCCTCAACAACTAATTACGCGAAAGTGATTGCATAATCGCAGCTTAGTACTTCCTGTTGCAGTTATGTTGAAAATTTCGTTCTTGAGCTTGAAATATTTCCCTAACGGATAAAAAATATACCGAATTGCTCTCTTTCCCATCAAATCAAGAGATGGGATATTTTGTCATTTTATAGGAAATTATTTGGACCTCAATAGCCAGAATTACTAGTCTATACATAATTTGTATAAAAATATATATGTACAGGTGTATTTACCTCTTCCCATTTATTCGATTCTATTTGCTTGGCATTAACCCTTAATAATTAGTGCTCAGTGCCACGAAAATTAAAAATATGTACATATGTATGTATGCTATTTATGCTCATGCCAATATTTATCTCCGCCAAGTCATGGAAATTGAGCAAAAAATGTATGAAATAAAAATAAACCCTCTCCAATTTGCTATGCTCATTTAATTTGCGGAAGACCACCTTCTCACCACGCCGGTCACACACTATTCCTAGGATAGAGCCATAAGCCAGTTTCGTCCTAACAAATTACTTTCGACAGCGCGTGTCAGTGTCTGCAAATCTTGCCACCCGCCATCCACTCATGAGTAATTACAGTATTTCCCGGTTATAAGTACCAGAAAAATTGCATGAGTATCCCACTTATAAACGCTGACTATGCTCATTTTCAAATCATGAACCAAACGAACGGCTACTTCTATTAAGAAATAAATTTTTTTAAATTATTTAAAACTAGCAATTACCCGGCGTGCTTCGCTGCGCCTTAAATGTATTTTTGTGTTGTAACTCTCCCCCTAAGCTCTTATGGCCTCATTTACAAAATATTTTTAAAGAACTTTATGAAGTTAGATTTAAAAAAATCGATCTATGAAGCATTGTTTATTTTTTTTTTGAGTTAATATATTTTCGAAGGTAATTAGAAAATATGTAAAGAACCGACTTTCTCTTGGAAATTTAATTTATAATCTTATAACTGGAGTCTACTATCGCACCCTTTCCTCAAACGTGTATTGATTCAATATTC